TACTGGTCTGCTATCTGGGGGGTTATGTCAGCAGTCACACAACACATGCACACACGCACACATGCACACACAACATAACATACACAACACAATGGATATACAACCTTGCAAGATCATCAACATGGACCTCGATCTGTAAGACACCACCATTCCAAGGGCGAATTTGTGGACAAACACCACACAACACGACTCACCACAGACACACACAACACCTAGCACAAACACAGCACACACACAACACACACACACACACACACATACAACCCATACAAGTTTTATCAGAAAAGAACCACACACTCAACGTGCTCATGCAAATAAGACATATATGTGTATACGTGTATACTAAGGCCACTTCAATAGACTAAATGTGATCAGAAGAAACACATTTCTAGTTGAGGACCTTTGTTTATTTCTGTTTATAGTTGAGCTTATACTAAAAAGGAGAAAACATAAAAAGTCCCAGAGGCCACAGAGCCCCAGTGACGGGTAGCTGTAGCTGGGTAGCAGAGGGTCAACAGACGGGTCCAGAGATGGAGCTCAGCTGGCACTTTATGGGAGCCACTTACAGTCAAAGCTGCCATGGAGAGGAGGAGGAGGAGAGGAGAGGAGAGGAGAGGAGAGAGGAGGAGGAGGAGGAGGAGAGAAGAGGAGAGAAGAGGAGAGAAGAGGAGAGGAGAGGAGGAATGAGGCTGAGTGTCTGGTGAAAGTCCAGGGCAGCGGAGGCACCACTCCAGGGGCTGAGAGGAACATCTGTGCCCCATTTAGTGATGTTTCTCCTCCTTTTAATTTCCCTTGTTTTTCTTCTCTTTGGTTTAAGAGTTTATAAACTCAGTCTGTCTCTCTATCTACCTTTCTGCTTCTCAGGTGCACGTGTTTTTTCCCACAGCTGGGCTAACAGATTATCACTCGGCCTTGCTCTGGGGCACAGGGGTCACAGGGGGTTAAATGGCAAGTCCAAGGGAACTGTCCAAGCCAGGTGTGTGTGTGTGAGTGTGTGTGTGTGCTTGTGTTCATCCTGAATGTGCAGCCATCTCTCTTGGGTTTGAGCACCGACTCTCCTCTCGACCCTGCGCCTCCCGCACTGCTCTGCACTCTGCTCTCATTTATTCCACATAATGACACGCACACACACTCCAGCACGAGCTGTTTCACCAAGCGGCCTCTCGCCTCAAGTCCAGATAAATACAAGGACACACACAATACATAATACAATAAACACACATAGATACACACAAGGCAATGTCACTGCATTCTTATCTGTGCTGTTCCTCCTTGTCGCTCCCGAAGAATTTATTAAAGACGGTGGCTAGCGGTGTTTGGCCGTGTGTGTGCATCTGCACATATATGCACCGGTGTGTGTGAGAGTGAGTGTGTATCTCCAGGGTAGCAGGTGGCCAGTGGAGTAAGACAGGAGATGAATGGAGAGAGCAGGAGAGCGGCGGAGCATGGTTGGGCCAGGCCATGGGGGACAACATGGCTAGTCATTTATTAGAGGCCAACACACATATACACACACACACACACACCTTGCACGCATGCAGTCAAATTCAATGCTTCCCTTAACACAAACACACACACACATTTACACACCTTCTGTCACAAATACATATGCAAATACACATACACAAGTATATATGATCCCAAAGGCTTATACAGCACACACACATGCATGCATGCACACACACACGCTCACACACACTGACCTAGTATCGACCACTCTCCATTCATCTAGCTTAAGTAGAGCAACACTATCCACAGACACAAAACTATATCTTTCGAACTTCAGCCACACTTGTGTGTGTGTGTGACTGTTGATGTGTGTCGATGTGTGTGTGTGTGTGTGTGAAGATGTCTGGCTCAGGGGCAGCCTTCGATAAGTCAAGCTTCTCTTTTTGTCTTGAGATGTTTATCGTTTTCTGACCCATTTTGTGTCTTTGGCCTCTTGCTCACATCCCTCCTGGTGTTAATGTTCCGACACTCTAAATATATGTGCGTGTATGAAAGCGTGTGTGTGTGTGTGTGTGTGTCATTGATCCAGCTGGAAGCAGTGTGCGAGCGTGTGTGTAAGAGAGAGAGAGAGAGAAAGAGAGAGAGAGAGAGAGGGAGAGAGGGAGCAGTAATATTCCAGGCCTTTCATAATGATTAAAGCCTTCATTAAATTTTCATCCCAACCTGCTGTTTGCTGCTAATGGCCTTTCTGAGCCACACAGCCAAACAATAGCTAGCCGGGCACAGAAAAGGGATTTCTATCTCGCGCTCAATACCGCCCCTTGTACCCACCCCCCCCCCCCCTCCTCCATTTCCCTTTGCCTCTCTTCATCTTTTCTCAGCTTCCCTTTTCTTCCTTTACTGTCTTTTCTTTCTTCCTTTCTCTTCTTGCTTGGCCTGGGTTTTTGTGTGTGTGTGTGTGTGTGTGTGTGTGTGCTGGGTCTGGAGGCGCTGGGGCCTTTTGTTAGCGCGTTTCATTTAAACGTAGGGCAGATAATGCTCCGGGTTGGTTTGGATGCCGCACCACTGTGGCACTCTGCTAATGGGGTCTGTGAAGACACTGCTCTCTCTCTCCTTCACTCTCCTCTCCTTCTCTTCTCCCTTCTGCCTTTTCCTTCCCCCTTCCTCTTCCCCCTCCCCCCTTCTCTCTCTCTCTCTCTCTCTCTCTCTCTCTCTCTCTCTCTCTCTGCGCTGGCTGACTCATAAAGATCCATTATTGTTGGTTTTTTCCTGTGCGGCCGGTTCATGAGGTCCAGTGAAGCAGCGAACAACCCAAAACAGCTCAGTTCAACAAACAGCCCAGTTTTTTTTTTTTTTTTTTTTGGTAAAATGTGCCACAACAGGCCTCTCTATCGACTGGAATAAAAACAACCAGCCGGCAAGCGCTGACCAGCAGTCTCTGACGCTTTCAAAACCTTACAGAAAAGCCTGGAAAATAAGGTTAGCATGTCGCAGCTTGAAATGAAAGCCTGTTGATGCACCGGGGGGCACACGGACACACACACAAGTACATGTGCACCTAACATTTAGAGACAAATACACACTGTGCAGCTGCTGCATGGTTCTTTCACCTTTTGGGCACAAAGGGCTGCATTTGAGGCTGCATACAGTTCACAGAAATGTTTGAATAGAAATCATAGCAGAGGTGGATTTAGACGCTAAAGAGAAAGTATGGAGGTGTATAAGAAGATCTAGTGGATTTTTCAGCATGCTTCAGCTTTAGAGGTCTTCACAGGCCCATTCACTTCTGAGGAAATGAGACCTGACCGAGGATCTGAGTCAGACCGGGTCCCAATTACACTCCAATTACAGTCTCGTTTTGTGCCACTGGTCTTGGGTCTGTGTGTCACTGTGTCTAATAAAAGAGTTGATGTGAATGGGTCAGAGTGTTCTCAGTATCACATGTGGTGTAAAAGTAGAGTAGCTCCTTTAGGAAGAGCTCAGCGTGTAGCGTTGTGTGTGTGTGTGTGTGTGCTGTCAAGAGCTGCTCCCGGATCAGACAGATACGGATCAAAGCAGAATAATGTCAGCTATAAAACTGTGACTGAAGGAGTGAATGTACAGTTTGAGCTACAGTTCATAGTCGGGAAATAAACGCTACAGCTCCTCAAGACTCAAGCCGAGTTCCCATATTTTGTTTGCCAACTTCTGAGGAAAGTGACGGGGGTTAACCCCAGAGTTAGCGCCAACCTCAGCAATGGAGCAGAAAACAAATTCGCCCCTGTATTTGCAACCATGGTTTGGAAGCTGAAGCATACTGAATTGCTTAGAAAATGATTCCCCTCTGTCTATTGTCTAGTTGACTACAGAATAGTTTCTTGTTGGTACAGGAGGTGAAAACAGGACTTTCAGTTATGTCTATAAATGAGTCTTTTAAGGGTATAAGCTATAAAAAAAAAAAAAAATTAGTTCTATGAGCGACGCTGCTTGTTAATTGATGGCACAGTGTCGGTGACCTTATATAGGGTCTGATCATCTTTGGGTCTATTCAGCTCAGGTTTGACTGTGAACAGATCCCCTTTGATGGGGTATGCTTTGAGTTTGGTAGGCTTACTTAGACCAGTAATCTGCTCGGCTGAAGTGCCCTTCAACAAGGCAGCAGCACCCCACCAGCTTCAGGCTCCCGTTTTAAAACTGACACTGAACTCCCCGTGTAGCACATCAAATATTTCTCCACCAATAAAGCACCACGTTATTTATATTGCCCCGTCCTCCTAAAGGAGATGGACACCTGTTGGCGATCCCTTTATCACATTATCACTATCACATGCGTTTCATAGTGATAGATACAGACGTATCTGCCCGGTGGAAATTAGAGTTGGCCAAAGGCTAATTTTATCTCTTTTCCCGACTCCAACTGTTGGCCCAAGGCTAAATTTGAGAATGAAATGTGGGGGCTAATCAAGTTAAGCTATGTAGCCCTGGGCAAAAATCTGGTTTAGCCTCTTCAACAGTGTGTGAAGTCTTTATCTGAGGGCTGAGAGAGCGTTTAACCAAACGTTACAAAGGTAGCAGGAAAACTGACAAGTTACATTTAACCCTCACTGATTATTAAGCTCAAAGAAATCTTAATGTGAGTGTGCCACCCGCTTAAAAATGAAAGCCGGGAAACATTTGGAGAGGTGTTAAGATATCCATGTATGTTTGGCAGGCTTTTCACACACTCAAGCACACACTCCACACACATGGACACATGCATGCACACACACATATCTTATTTGTCAGGTTGTGATAAATATGCAAAGCATGGTGGACAATAGGCCCAAACAGCTAATGCTGTCTGTCTGTGTGCTGGAAAAACAAAGGCTCGCCTCTCATCTGAAAGTGTGTGGGTTCATAACAGAGGGAGAGAGAGAGGGAGTGATAGAGCCATAGAGAAAACAAGACAGAAAGAAAGAAGACGAGAGCAAGGACAACAGAGTGTGATAAAAGGCACAGAGCCAGAGAGACGGGAGACGAGAGAGTTGCAGATCACACATCTGGCTGCACAAGCATCCCCTTTCATCACTGACCTTCTGGTTCGTTCTTGATCAGCTCCTCCATCTTGCGCTGTTTCAGTGTGTCCACCACATCTGCCAGGCTGCCCTTGCGTCTCTCAGGAGTCCCCAGGGTGCCCGTGGCTGAACCCCCGTCGCTACAGGGCCGTCCCCCGCCTCCACCCTCCTCTTTGCCTGGTGAGGTAGAATTGTGCTGGGGGTAAGGACTCAGGGAGCTCCCCTTAGTGCCGTCATGGTCCTGAGGGGAGGAGAGGAGAGGTTGGGTAAAGAAAGAAAGAAATTATTAGTTTTCAAAAATCACCTCAACTTTAAGACATAATTAAATAAACTGTGGGAGAAAAAAAAAGTAGGAGGAGGTGGGGGAGGAGCTGGCATACACCCACTCATTATCTCCATCCTCCTCTCTTTCTCTTGCTCCCCTTTATTCTTTTGCATCTCCCCTTCCCATAGCCCAGTGCAACCAACTTTCATCACCGGCCAGTTATCTCAAGTTAGGGCATACTTCTTCTCTCTCTTTTTCCCTCACATCCTCTGGAATCTGCATTTGACTGACTTGGAGGTACTTGACAGAACGAACACATGAAACAGCAGCGAAAGCCTCCGCACACTCTTAGAGTCACGCTAACTCTTCATTACAAAGCCTTCAACAGCTCAGCTTTGAGGGACGTCCAACGCTACTGTACCGAATCCCAAGCCCAAGTTTCAGCGCTGCGCTACTTTTGTCCTAAGATTTGTGACAATTAATGCTGAAGATGCAACTCCATCAAACAGAAAAATCACAAAAAAACAGATAAAGCTTTGGAACAGTGTCAAATCATTTCCATAAACTTATGAAAGATGTGAAAGGGGTAAAAAAAAAAACAAAAAAAAAACAGACAAAATAGCAATCAGCATGACAGCTACAAAATATAATATATACAGCTCAAAGTAAAGCTCTGTGGCTTATGCCAAGCTGTCATGATGAATAATTATCCTGCTGTCTTGTGGCTAAATTTACAGTTTAAACATGGTAAGTTTAATGATCTTTGGATCCTCTTAAAAAAAAAAAAAAACCTGCACTCTTGCAGACAAAATATTATTTTGAAAAAAATGTATGTAGTATGGAAACCAATGATGAGAATAGTTAAACTTTTACAATGAAAATATTTGCATATTCGTAGATTCTGGGTTTTTATTTTTTAAAGAGGGAGAAGGAGTAGAACTTCTGAATCTGAATAAACGGAAACAAAAAAAAACAAAAGAAGCTTGACAGCAGCTGAGCGGTAAGTAACTTCCAGCATCTTAATCTTTGACCCAATAAAACCTGTGTTTGTTTGGACAGACTTAATGCCGGCTCAGCCCAATTAATAGTGACACTGCCTGAGAGGGAGGGCAGCGTCAGATTCAAGAGAGCGCACACACACACACACACACACACACGCACACGCACACACACACACACACACACACACACACACACACACACACACACACACACCATCTCTTTGTCACACATACTATTGTATAAATGTTCTAAATGCATACAAGCAAATACGCGTACGCTCCCACTTGCAAAAACAGGTGTGTTAAAGTGTGTGTCGTGCTGTTTAATTACAGAAACAAGTGAGTGAGTCAGTCAGTCAATCAGCCAGCCAGTCTGTCAGCTCAGCTCTTTGCAGACAGGAGGGTCAATGGTCCACAGGGTTAATCTTTGGCTAATCTGACTACAGTATGGAGCATGCCACCTGGGACAGCAGCACACATATACAGTACCTCTGTTTGTCTGTGTGTGTGTGTGTGTGTGCATGTGTGTGTGTCTGTGTGTGTGTGTGCGTGTGCGTGTGTGTGTGCGAAACAGAAAGTTAGTGGTGCATTCCAGCTGCATTAATGATATTATGGCGTTTTAAGGCGGAGATGGTTTTGTAATCATTAACTCGCAGGCTGCTGGTGGAAGTGGAACTTAATACTGAGATCACAGTCCACAATGAAGTCATCTAGACCCCAGATGACTCCATTTTCTATTCTTTTCTATCCTATAGGCAAAGTAATTTCTTTTTTTTATAAAGGCTTCCATTTCAGCTGAGGAGAAAAAAAAACCTCCTCTAAACAAACTCTCAACTCACTCCTCTGCGTTCTACTGAGAGAATAAAGCCAGACAGAGGCGTTCAATATTGACGATGCTTTCATTGTCAGTGGCCAAACACAATATGAGAGGTACAGAAGACCATTATCACATGGCATTTTCTACACTTCACTGACTCTCTCTCTCTCTCTCTGGGTCTGTGTGTTTCCACACTCTGAATAAGTCAGCGCGCTCAATAATTCACAAATTCTCTCCTCGGCGCTCTTGCACATGCATTGTAACGGAGGGACAGAGTGTGACAGCGATGATACGGCTGTAGCAGTTGTATATATACTGCATGATTGTGTGATGAGGCTTCAGTCAGACGCTGTTGAGACTGCTAACTCGCCGGCTGAGGGCTGTGCTGCGCTGGGAAAGTGCCTTGTGATCTTAAAGCACCCAAAGACTTTACTCTTCTCCTCTCACCACCTGACCAACTTCCTGCTCCGACCTACTCCTGTCTTTCTTTGTTGCCTCCTTTCTTCCGTCACCCTCTCCCCTGTTCTTCAGATTAGGGAAATTCAGACTTCAAAATGAGCGGCTTTGTGATTATGAGTTGCATCAGCGCCGACACGACATGCAAATGTATGGAGACAAGAGAGAGAGAGAGAGAGAGAGAGAGAGAGAAGGAGTGTAAGCGGGTAGAAGTCAGAGAAAGAAAGAAGGAAAGGAGAAAGAGAGACGGAGAGAGAAGCGATGTTATTAGAGGAAATGAGAGAAAGCGAGTTGACAGAGATACAGGGAGGAAGAGAGAGAAAGAGAGAGAGAGGGAGAGAGAGAGAGAGGAAGGCAGGCATCTTGAAGGCAGCGGTCACACCTGTCACATCCCATTTATCTAATCCAGCGCCTACTTAAAACAGCCGCACTCTTTCTTTCGAGAAAGATGTCGCGCAAACAAAACAAACAGAACAAGAATACGGGAGGGAGATGGAGGGGAGAGAAGGGGGGGGGTAGAGTTTGGGGGGTGAGGGGTTGTCGGATCTCTTTCCTCTGTCAGAAAGCTGCCAGGGAGATGTCATCTCGCTGCGTCCAACAATGGAGGTCATTTCCCAATCAAAGGGAATTAGCAGGGAGCCGTGGCTTCTTCAAAGACCTGGTACATTAGGGCCCATGACATTATTTATGTGTGAAGTCAGACAGACAGCCCTTATCCCAAAGGCAACTTAAATGGCTTATGATTTTCTTTTTCCCATCAACCTCCCAACATATAATCCATGTGCGTTGCTGGCGATTTGCACTGCAAAGTCCAACACAGAGGGATCAAAAAAAAAAAAAAAAACAAGACACAAGACAGGCTCTCTATTGTAAACGAGTGTCACTCAGTCCGTGTGTGTGTGTGTGTGTGTGTGTGTGTGTGTGCGCACACGCAGCGACATGTTTCTCTGCTCCTGCTCTAACGCGGGTTGCAAAACTTTTTCTCATCAACATGCATTTATTCATAAGTACAAACAGAAATTCTGGATACTGTAAACGTTCATGCCCTCCTCTCGGTGCATGTGTGCGAGCAGGTTTCTGCCATTTCTGTGCATATATGTGTGACACTGTGAGTGCACATAGCCTGTAGGTGTGCGTGTGTGTGTAAATGTGTGAGTGCCTGCATACATGTATTTATATGCACTGGATGTGGCAGGCTGGCAGTGTGGGCGGTTCTGCCTTTAGTTTGCAGATGTCAATTCTCTTCCAAATGACTGGAACAAAGTAAAAATTGCGCCTCACTCTCTTTATCCTTTTACTGCCTCTGCAATGGAACCGAATTAAACAACTTTTGTCTTCTTAAGCTCATCTGTGAGGGGATGTTGGTTTAAAAACACTTAACTCTTGCCAGAAAAAGAGGAAAAAAAAAATCCAAATGCTATTTTTTTCCTACAGCCAGCACAGATGCCGCTGTTCATCTTCTTCTTTTTTTTTTTTTTTTATTCCTTCGTCTTCTTCCCTTCCTCCTTCTCTGTTGCCCGATAGAACAAACTCACTCTCTCTCTCTGTGCTATAGCCTGACATGTCTTGGACTGTGCAAGGTGTATGTGTGAAAAACAATATTTGATGCTTGGCGCGTCGCCGTAGATCAAGGCATGGACAATGTGGCAGTAGGAAGAACTGGAAACAGCTGCTGAACTAAAATACATGCACAAATACACACTGAGAGAATGTCACTGATCACTCCTGCAGGGGGGTAAAGACTTAGCTCTGCGCCAGAGCTGCCAATCTCAACGACATACACTTAACACACCTCCGACACACTGCCAAACACATACACACACACACATGCGCGCACGCACACACACACACACACACACACACACACACACACACACACACACACACACCAAATCTCTTTACATGCCATGGCTAAACACAGAGACTGTCAGTTTTGACTTGGAGGTCCCTCAGGCTGGGACAAGCAGGCAAACACACACATTACTTTTATCCTCCTGTTCCGACAATATGGTTCAACTTCACCATGGAAACCTCACATTAAAAAGAGAAATATATATTTACTGTGACATTGATAATTATTTCAGTATATTAACATCAATGCTTATTTCAAAGCAAAATTAAAATAATTGCAATTGAATTACTTAAGAAATGCTAATTGTCTATTTAAACTTATTGTCCATGAATTACACACTTGCCCTTTCCTTATCTAAAAACATGCAGCTGTATTTTCTGTATTTTAAATAGCAGTTTGGCTAAAATGCATGCCAGTATATTTTACCACGACCCCTCACTGTTGACAGGCAAGCGTGTGTTGATTCATTAGTGCATCACTGGCATGAGAAATTAAGTGTGACCACTGTGTCTCAAGACTGCTCAATGACTGTGTTAAATCTGTCAAATTCACATGAGCACACACACGCATGCACGCACGCACGCACACGCGCACACACACACACACACACACATAATCACACATACAAATTACACAAAAAGAGGGATAGAGAGGGTTTGTGGAGGAAAATGAATAAGAAATAATGCCTGATGAAATATCTTTATAGTTTTCTATCGTGTGAGCGTGCATCCCGCCTGTTAATGAAATAATTAGTGTTTGTCCATTAACACATTTATGAGAGAAGATGCTTGCCTCTGCCTGATGTGAAAACATTTCTTTCTGCAAGGGGTTTGCAAAACACAAACACAAAAGACCTAAAAGAGAGCAAATAGGGAAGAAAGATGTTATATAATGTTATATGTTATATATAAGATGCTATTCTCTTCAATGTGTCCTGTTATAATGATTCACCATGTTTACTTTGTTTCTATCACAAATAAAGTTAGAGATCCATCCTTTAATAACCCGTGGGTGCATCATAACCACATTTGTTGTGATGATTGGGCGACCTCACTGAACTGCTACTAAAATCCTTCCCATCAGGCGTTTGAACTGAGCTGCTCTCAGCCAATCAGGGTCCAGCTGCACGGTGAGAACTTCACATTCAGTAAAACACCCTTTTAGCTAAACTACATTCATTTGCAAACCATTATGAGGAGCACTATTCTTATCCACAGCCAGGGTTTGTACAAAAACAAAAATTTTACAAAAGTGAATAATCCGACACCTTTCAGGCTTTTAAAATATGTGTGAGTGCTGTTTTTATTCCCTGTGTGTGTGTGTGTGTGTGTGTGTGTGTGTGTGTGTGTGTGTGTGTAGGGGGGGGGGGGGGGGGGGGTCCAGGGGGGGGCGGCTGTACAGCTGCAGCAGGCAGGTAAAGTGGTCTGGCCAAAGCTGAGCAGGCAGGCGAGGCAGGCGGGATGAAGAGGTCAGTGTGTAGCTGAGCGCTTCTGCGCCGCCGTGTTAATTTACTATGACAAGATAAAGCTGTAATCTCACCCCCTCCTCCCTCACCTCCCTTTCCTCTCTTCTCGCTTTCCCCCGCTGCCTCACTTCCAAGTCAACCGGTCGCCTATGAGCCATTTACTTCCCCCCTATCACTTTACGACAATTGCCCTCAGAGAGGGAGAGAGAGAGAGAGACCCCCACCCCACTCCTTTAGAGTCCCACCGACACCCCCGCCTTGTTGTAAATCTCCTTCTCCCTCTCCATCTCTCTCTCCGTTTCTCTTCATCCACTCTTCACTGACAGTCAGCGGAGAAGGGATTGAAAAACTTAACACACATCTTACAACATGCCAAGCAGGCAGTCGGATAAGCCCCCATCCCACCCGCCAGACACACACACACCCTGCTTGCCACTTAATAATCCACATCAACTATTATGCTGTGTATGAGCCCCCCCCCCCTAACAACACAAGTCCTTCCAACACACTCATCAGAAAATCACATCAAAATTTGCACTACATATTAATGAGACTGATGTTTGTATATTTTTTGTGTTTTGTGTAAATATAACAGATACATTTATCTTAATTAACCAGGGATAATCAAATCACTCTCTTCAAAAGATAACATGGTATATGTGTGTGAATATGTGTTTGCACGTGTGTGTGTGTGTGTGTGTTTGTGCTCCCCCACGGTCCCAGGACTTTGGTTTACAGTCGGCACCTGCCACACATGCAGAGTCCACCGTGGGAGGGGCCTACAGGCTAATCAGCGGGCTAATTACAGAATTAGCCTTCCATTACAGCTCCTAAGCACCGTTTCATTGTTTTATCATCGGTATGGGGGAAAGGTCGACGGTTGTTATCAGAGCACTGCTGTGACAAGGTGTGTGCCTGTGTGTATCAAGGTGAGGGCTCAGGGGAAAGCACTGACACCGTGTCACACACAAAGTGAAAACACACTGCAGCGGGAAAAAAGAGGTTCATCACATGTTTGCCATGGAGGATAGTCAACAATTACTTATGCAAACACAAAACACAATTTAGAAAATAAAAACGAAATAATGCGTACGAGCATCATGTAATACCCTACACAGTCATGTAATCACACTTCTGCACTGAACATATATTGTAAATCACACCACATGTATAGAATGTGTAATGAGCCACATGCAGGGAGACAGTCATCTTTAAACGCACACATAGCTGTGTACTCACAAACACACACATCAACTAACAGCAGTTTACAATAAAAGTATACACTGCGAGTCCTACACTATTATTTAACCTGAATCACACAGAAGATGAAACTGTGCAAACACACACACACACACACACACACACACACACACACACACACACACACACACACACACACACACACACACACACACACACTCAAAAGCACTTACAAAAACAGAGCCATACATTCAGCGCCACCAACAATGTCACACTTCATCCCAAAGAAAATGACTCACTGCAATGGCTCACATTTTGCAGTCACGCAACTGTGCATCAAGCGGGCTCAAGGCGACGGCTGGTGGCGCGCACATAAAAGCAAAAACACGTGCGCGCCCAAACAGTAGCCTTGAACCTTCGTTTTTTTCCCCCATTTAAAAAAAAAAAACAAAAAAAACAACACCTACCACAACCTCCATCTCTAAGCTTCCAAACTGCTTTTCACTCATAGAGAAAGTCCATTTCTGCCTCTTTAGAAATCTCACTCTTTTCATGTCTATCAAATACATATATTTTGTTTCCTCATTGCTGAGATTTGTGCAGTTGCTTGTGATGGGGGTTTTAAAGGTGACTCTCAAGTCACCATAAGGAGAATAAACAACATGCTAAAATCAAAGGGATCCAGACTGTAAATCCAATCATTTTGTTTTGAATATGCAGAAACATTTCTGTTTACTTGTCCAGAAATTACTGGAAATTCAATATAAACAAGATAATTCTAATTATTTTGAACATGTTTCATTCCTGAAACTGCATTATATACCCATTTCAAAAGATAGCAAATAAAAGAAGTTAATTTCTAGCCAAGTACATCCACAGAAATAAAACATTTTTCAAAGCAAAGGTTGTAATTTACTGGCACCGGGTGCTAACTGCTTCTCCTGCTCATTTACGAAGCTTGTGTTACAGAGAGGGCTACGCTACGCCCTCGCCGCTGACTATCCCTGCGTAATGCTGGAGGTTAGGATTACGGTGAACATAATCTGATCTGGGGTCTGTGCCCCGGGATTCACTTTCACAACCTCGAGCCTCTCATACACAGAAAGGCAAACGGCATTACAGGGCTGAGACCAACAGAGACAGAGAGATGGAGGCCAAGCACCCAGTGACGAGGCCTGCACAGTGAACTTTTTTTTTTTTTTAAAACAACAGAAACAGAAATGGATATATGTCATTTAAATTTGATTTTGTTTACTGTTGTTTTATCTTTAAGTGAATGGAGTGCCAGTGTTCCAGGAATGTAAGAGACATGTTGAGGAGACATTCTGCAGACACTGCAGCACAAAATAAGTTCATATTAATGGACTTTGTCACTCATGTGAAATGTTCTTTGTTTTGCATCTATTTGTTGGGACAGTCATGTTCTAAGTTTTGAAACTACAGTTCCCTTAATTCTTTTCGGGGATGTAAACAGGAAGTATAATGTTGCCATGGTTTCAGTGAGTTACACTGTCGTCTACAACTTGAGCTCCGACTTTAGCCTCCGTTCGTTTACATTTTAGCGAAACCACCATTTAGAAAATGCAGAATTAGCTGTTAGCAGATCCTGTTTGGAATAAACCTGCGCACCTGAAGAGAACTGATTATTTTGAGACTGAAGAAACCGTAAAAACATGACGACTCTCAAGCAAGCTCAGGAGTTATTAGACGTGTTTTGTTTCCAGTGATTTTCTAAGTGGATTTAGGGATGTGCATTGTCAGTGAACATCAGATAATGATGTCCTCGGGAGGTGTAAGCCACACTGAATCTAAAACGTGTGTGTCATGGCACTTCTAGCTAATGTGTTTTTCTTATATTAAACATTACTGAAATTTAAAAAAAAAAAAAAGTTTTTCAACCGGAGAGCAAAGTGATTTGAAAACTCAGGTGAGTTGTGAAGCAAAACCTGAAGCTGTAGCGTGCTGCGGGTCGCACCATGTTGTACCTGTTTCAAAGCACGACCCGTGAGCCGGCGCTCGAGGCCGCGGTCGCCCATAGGTGGGTCCTTTCAACCACAGAGACACTAAATGACATCGGGCATGAAAGCGGTAGCCGTCCTTACCATGTTGGGGGGGCTGTCCAAGTTGCGGTTGGGGGGCGAGCGAGGGGACACCTTGCCGCAGTAGGAGGCCAGGGGGAGGTGGATGACACCGCCCAGTCCCTCGCTCTCCTCATCCTCCACTCGCTGTCTGCTGGTTGCCATGGTTACCTCTCCATCTGTCCCCCCATATGGAGAGGCTGGTCGCTTGGAAGACATCCTGGAAAAAAAAAGGAGGGAGAAGAAGGGAGATAGAAAGACAGAGAGAGGAGGAAAAACAGGAGGAAGAGTGAGCAATATTCAAAGGATGATATAACAGGTCGAGAACTGGAGTTATATGATGGTGGCAACAGAGAGTGTGGAGCTTCCTGTGGATGGATCTAGTTCCTGTAAATTCCTGGATAGTCCAACTCCCATTTTTTTTTTTTATCCACTTTGTGTGTATACTATAGCAAAATACTCCCATGAAGACATCTTTAAGTCCTTCCTGCAGGTATTCACCAAATCCGATTCAGCTCAACAACCTACATCAATTCTCTATCTTCCCTTTTCTCTGGATTAGTTTTTTTTTTTTTTTTGCACATTCAGCACATTCAGACGACAGAGCTCTCCCAGTGCAATTCCTCACAATATCCCCTTCAGTCGGTTTGTGAGCACCCAGCTCCTTGGCAGACCTTCAAACACACTCTCAGGTCTTACAGTATGTTTACCATGGGGGCCATTCAACGTTCACGTTTCCAAAAGACGGGGCCATTACTGCAAATGGAGCCCGCTTGCACTGGCATTGTTGAGGAAATGACCATGTCTTGACAATGGGCTTTCAGAGAGAGACATAGAGTGCGAAAGAGGGAAAAAAAAGAAAGAAAGAGAGAGAGAGAGAGAGAGAGAGAGAGAGAGAGAGAGAGAGAGAGAGAGAGAGAGAGAGAGAGAGAGAGAGAGAGAGAGAGAGAGAGAGAGAGAGAGAGAGAGAGAGAGAGAGAGAGAGAGAGAGAGATAGTGAGAGCAGTATGCACAGTGACAATTATATGTGTTTATGAAAACCTCTGGACAATAGAGGAACTGGAGGAAAATAGCAAGCAACACAAGGGCCCCGCTGTTTGCATTTGTTACTGTGGCTTTGTTCCCTTGAAAAGAAGGAAAGGATATAAAGCCACATCTATTAGGTGAACTCTGTCTCTCACAAGGTAAATTTGCCTCCCTGTACTTCAGCTGAATAGGGATGAAGTGACTATGTGGCAATAATAGAATTTAATGTGGTTCTCAGGATCGCCTGAGTGCTTTCAGATGCACTTGTCAGCCTTGAAGCCACTGTGACTATGACCCTGGGTAATAGGCTGCTAACACTCAGTCGCACAGAGGCAACGCATGACAGGGATGGAGGGATGGAGGCGTGGATGGAGGGATGGAGAGACTGTGAAAACTGGAGGGGAGGGGTGTGCGAGTGTTTGTGAGATGGGAAGCGGCTGAAAACAAGAAATAAGCAACAGGCGTCCGACTCTCAAACCCCTCTCTACCTCTTTCGTTCCTCTCGTTTCACAAGCTGTTTTCTGCTCGTTCTCTCTTTCGCTACATCATCAAGTCTTCATCCTCCATCCATACATCGTCTGTCTCTGATTTGCTCCGTCTTCCTCTCCGGCCTTCCTCTCTTAAATTCTTCCCCTCTCTCCCCCCCTGCTTGTCTCCAGTAAACTGATTACCCTCTTGACTCTATTGGATTTCCTCTGGACTGTACATCTGGCATTGTTCCTAGGAGCAGCCCTGCCACTAATTCATTGCTTATTTACCTTATGACAGTGGAAAGGCAAACAATATTGAGTGCTGCTCACTGGAGGCGATGAGGACAGCGCCACGCTACGAAACCCAACCCAAAATGTTGCTTTATCACAGGGATGGTTAAGGTCAAAATTGAATCAACTACGCTCCAGAAATACTGTAAAAAAAAAATTAAAAAAAAGACTAACTTTCCACTGTAGTGATGTAATTCAATAAGCTTAATTGTTTTTGGAAGATTTTGCCTCCAAGATTTCTAGACCTCATAGATAATCTAATAATTTAAACCAGTTTACAAATTGGTGTTATCATGTGCATATTGCTGAGGAACTTTTTTTTTTTTTATCTCCAGAAAGTCAAGTTTTCAGGAACACAGAGGCTGTTTTGTTTGCTTTGCATGCATTTTTGAGTTTCAATGGGCTCTGCAGAGCTTTTAAAGGTTGTGCAATCTCACCTACTGATGAGGGACCCATGTAATACTTCATTTGGAGTTAAATCAGAAAATTATAAAATCACCACAACAGAGAAGTGCAGTTTTTACTACTACATCAAATTCTGTAAAAGTACAGTCTCAGTATTTTAATTGCTTTTTTGTACGTTTTCCTCACTGCTGAACAAGTTAGAATTTCATGTAGGTCAGCGTGGAGACACACACACGTACACACACACACACACACAGACGTTTCTGGGAGTCAACAGAGTGGAATGTGTATCAGCAGCTGATTTCTTTATCTGTTTTTCTTGGACGCTCTACCTACGTGGGCTTGCTCAGCAAAAGCTGAGGCCATAAATGACCAGTAAAGATGCTCTATTTGTTTCAATGACAAAAGGCTTCAGAGATAAGACGCCACGCTGCTATCATTAAATGCAATAGATATTAAAACTGAAATTGACTTTTGATAACACTTATGGATACGGTGAAAGAGGCGAAAACTGTGTGTGGGTGAGTGTGCGCAAAACTTTTAAACACACACAAAAGTGCACATACATAGAACAGAGGCTCTCAACACTGCAGGTCTGTCTGTTTACTTTACCTCCTTTCACTCTCTCACACTGAAGCCTTTTGTTTCTCACACACACACACACACACACGCACACACACACACACACACACACGCACACACACACACGCACACACACACGCACGTACACGCACGCACACATACACACATCTCCCCTTGTGTCCCATATGTGCACACGTCTGCCTAGCCATAACCCCTTCACACAGACCTGGGGTCAGTTTTGAATCCGCTCACCTCACTGATGTTGCACTTTGGCTCAGCTATAGAAAGCAGGAATTTTGTTTTTTATTATTTTATTGTCTTTATCATTTAACCACAGTAGCCACACTGGCGTTTCTAAATGGAGAGGCAATCCATAGACAAGAACAGTTACACATTAACACAGGAAGCAACACAGATATCCAAAAACTCTGCAGGCCAGAGAGAGCACTTCACTCTCCTGAAGAAAATAACTGCGCTTCATTTCATCATTCTTTTTGCTGTATTTTGCCCCTCTTCTTCTTTTTCACCCCCCCACCTCTGCTACTACTTCCTCTGAGGTGGGTGTCTATGAATGGGGCGGCCGTTCACAGCTCCTCTCCGGCTATAAAATCCCTCTCTCCCTCCCGTTCGCCTTTGAAGTGGAATTACTATACAATTGGGCACGGCGGGTGTGCAGGTTACGCCGGCTACTTCATTTAAAGTTTGGCAGGGGCTGTCACGCCGGGAGAGACCCGGAGGAAGACGTTTGAAAGCGCGGAGCGATGCGAGGATTAAAAAAGATGAGGTTTTATTAAGTCGATAAATTGGCAGCATCGTCCAGGTCATAATTAGAGAATATTAGCATAATTTTGCCCCATCTTACAAAGCCAAAAATTCAACATCTCACGCCAAACGCAGTCTCTAACACACACACACACACACACACACACACACACACACACACGCTGCTAGCCCTTTCTATAAAGCACAGTAATGACATCTCAAATGACATAACACCACTGCAACAATATTGCAGTGTATTTTTTGATTTACAAATCAAATTAATAAGTAAACTCCAAAGAAACAAAATTATAATCAGCCGTTTGTCTTTTCTACCCATCAACCTCTCTCTCTCTCACACACACACACACACACACACCCACACACACACACACACACACACACACACACACACACACACACACACACACACACACACACACACAACTATGCACACAGTGAGAGCTCTAAGCTGAGATTAGAGCACCACTTCCCCTTGGCTTTTTGATGATTAGCGGCTCCTCGGCTAAGTCCCTCTCATATCACATATGTCCACTGCTGCTAAGTCACTAATCGGACAGAGACGGACGTCCATTAACGGGCCGAATAATCGCCATCGATGGTGGTTAACCGTCTCCTGGCCGTCGCTTTCTGTAATCAACGTGCCCATTTCATGTTGGCACGTCAGCAGCGGCAAGCTTACGCACACGCAAGCATGTTTAAATACAGGCAGCCGGCTTATGAACACGCAAGCGAGGGAGCTCACACATGCAAAAAACATTTAAAAAACACACACACACACACACACACACATCGAATGAATTAAGCAAAATGGGGGCAAAGATTTGTTTCAGCTTCAATGAGGAGTGAGTGAAAGACAAAGCAGCCATCGCAGAAATGTCACAGGCTATCACACACACACTTACACACACACACACGCCCGGCTCTCTCGCTCGGTGTGTCTGGCTGCTAACATAATCATACTGCTAACTGCTCTTGTTAACTCCTCTACTCAGAACAAGCTTTCAGGGAGCGTGGGAGCCTCCTCTGGAGAATTCCACAGTAAAGTGTCTATGCTTCTGCGTGTGCATATGTGTGTGTGTGTGTGTGCATATGTGTGTGTGTGTGTGTGTGTGCATATGTGTGCGTGTGTGTGTGTGCGTGTGTATGTGCTCAGCCTCTCTTTAAATTACAGCCCATTATTTCAACTACTACACAAACATGCACCGCACAGTCAGTCGAATCCATCGTCTACAGTAAAAATAAGCACGGCGGCTAATTCCAAAGTGCTGTCAAGAGTCAAAGTGACATTTGTGTGTGTGTGTGTGTGTGTTTTTTTTCCGCCACCTTGTGACTGCTGTGAACTGCCTGCCTGTCACTCAGGTGCGGGTCTATTTGCGTGGAAATGCGAGTTATCTTTGAAATTGTTCTCTGAGGGAATGGAAGGGCATATCAAAATAGTTGAGCGGAATGTGCCTTTTAGATAAGGCGCCCAGGGCGTTTTTGCCTCCGAGGAGCCGACCGCAACATTTACATCTGTATGACACCTCAGGCGGGAATTTAAACAAATGTTTCCCTCCGTGTCAAGCTATCACTCGCTTTATTGCCATCGCTTTTTTTTTTTTTCCCTTCCCCTTCTCTTTTTTTCTCCCGTTGCGTTTCCTATTCTCAGCTTTCAAAACAGTTT